TTCGGATTTTCCATCTACCATCTGTAGGGGTCGCCGATTAAAAAAAATTAATTAAAGATTAAAGAAAACCTGGACAATTCAACCCAATGACCAGTGAGTGTAGTGGCGGAACGTTATCTTCTTTCAGAAGCACCATTTAAAAGAGAACGATTCTCTTTTAAATTTTTACCATGCTTGAACCACTTTGGTCTGCTTTGCGATTTAGTTAAATATTCAGTTGACCATCGCTTCCAAAAGTGTTGCTTAATTTTATCACAAAGATGGAAAAAACTTAGTTTATTTTCAAGTACATTAGACACATCTTTTTCCGGTAATGCTGTCAATGGCTCACCTATCAAAAAGTGTGATAGTGTTAAGCAATTAAAATCTGAAGAATCCGATGAAATTGGACTTAAAGGCCTTAAATTTAAAATGGCTTCAATTTGTGCCAACACAGTAGTTAATTCTTCATTCGTCAAAGTTAAATTACCAACTATTCTTTTTAAATGAAACTTTGTCGGCTTTATCCCTGCTTCCCATAAGCCACCCCAATTAGGACTAACTGGTGGTATGAAATACCACTCAAATTTCCTATTGACCAATTTCTCATGAATATCTGACAAATTCTTTTGATTTTTGAAAAATATATAAACGTTTTTAAGTGCTTTATTGGCACCCTGAAAATTAGTTGCATTATCACTATAAGTAGCATGTGGACACCCTCTCCGTGCAATCAACCTTTTAAGCGTGAGAATAAATGCTTCGGTATTTAAACTACTCACTACCTCCATGTGGATTGCTTTAGTAACCATGCAAATAAATAATGCATTATAAGCTTTGCTGGTAACTATTCCACGTAATCTTGATTGTTTAATTTACTTTTTTAAATGGACGAGCTGTCGATACCCGATCTGGTGGTGGTGCACCCATAAATTGAGTGGCCCCTTTCGCCTTTAACCTGTGACAGATCACACATTCGTTCACAACTGATTCGACTCTTCCCATTCCATAAATTATCCAATACATTAATCTTAAGTTTGCTGACACTGTTTGAGGACCAGCATGGAAAAGTTTGAAGTTCGAATCGAATTAATAACTTGACTGCATAATGATGTGCTGGTAGAATGATAGGAAACTTTTGATCAAATTCTACCTTTGCGTTAGCTATCCTACCATTAACCCGTAAAATTCCTTTTTCATCAAGAAATGGATGGACATGCTATGACTATCTTTAAAACTAGCCAGCAAACTAACAGATGATTGCAGTTGTTTTATTTTCTTTTCAAAGCTTTCCAATTGAATTTGTTTCATAATGGTATCATGAGCATGTTGTAAATCGTCATTGCTTAGTGGCTCCGAACTTCTCTTTAAATATGTATGGCAATATGACACTGCCCGATGCAGTCTCAAAAAATTTGAAAAATTATGCCACTTAATAACATTTTCTACAACTGTCTGAGTCATTGCCACCCTTTGTTCCGGAATAACTGTAACATCTGGATGGCCATTATTAGAAAAATCATTGTCAAACTCCAAAAGGTAATTAGGCCCGTGCCACCATAAATGTTTATCCACTATATCGGAAACAGATATACCTCTAGATATACAATCCGCAGGGTTTTCTTTAGACCCCACGTGATTCCAAGTGAAAGTTGAAGTAAGCTCTTGCATTTCTGCAATCCTGTTTGCCACAAAA